TAGAAATTGGTTAATTGTGATGCTGGAACTTCTTTCGTGTCTCTACTAAATGTACGTTATAGTCGTAATATATAATTATGGCAAATTACGCGTTGTATTTCGAATAATATACCATATGCGATTACATTTGAAAATTCTATCTCCTTTCTATCTTCAAGAGATCAACGTCTGATACAAAAGAGACAAGACACAAGACGAGTTCAATATTCAATTGTATTGCAGAAGAAGTCTATTCCAATAGAATCTCACATTACATTCCAAAATTCTATCTTCCCTTCTTCCTATCTAGTTATAAGACCAACGTTCGATGCAAAGAAACATACGGCAGAAATTCAATATTTTAATACAACGATCTCCATAAATCATAAAACTACTTTCCAACCTACCCGATTCGCGAAGACCGCTAATCTCTTCATCCACCGACATTGAAGGAACTTTGACTCGTAGCGTAAAGGGGACCTTCACCAGAAGCAGTAGGTACTTTTTTTTTTATCAAAGGTTACACCTTCCACTTTCTAACGACTACTTGGAAATTGTCGGGCGAAACGCACGTCGTGTCTCGGCGCAAGAATGTTGTTAGTCAAGCTTTTCTTCGAAAAGAAAGGGGGAGGGAGGAAAAAAAGAAAGAAAAGGGAGAAAAAGTAACGCTATCACGATCGAAATAAAGTTCACGCGACAACGCCGTTATGTGTGCCGGGCACACAATGCGAAAGAACAGGGGTGAGTTATCGTGACGCATTGCCGGCTGCACCGAACGCACGTGGCCTGATGGTTGTTATCGGTCCTATCGGCCAGTGGCTGTATCAGTGCCGTCGGCACCGCTTATCGTCGCCGACGCCTGGCGTCGATCAGCAACCGTTATGAATTGTTTCCGCGCAAGTAACCGGCCAATCGCGACGTTACCCGGCCAAACGAAAAACTAGTTCCCCTCTGCTCGTTTACGAAGCACAAAATGCCGGAGACGGTAAATTGCTGGCCACTGAAACGCGAACAAACGATATAATGACAGGACGCGTTGTCTTGTCCATTGAACGCTCGAACTGTGAATCGCTGTTACACAGAGCTGTATAAGCGCGCTTCATTTTTCGTTTCTTTTCTTTATTTCGTTGATCGTTCGAGACTATCAATCCGCAGGTTTAACGATCAAAGAGGGAGTTCTCGTTCGTAATTAATACGTCGCTGCGTGATATTTGAATAACATTGGTTATACGTCGATAAGAATACGTTGCAATGCATTAAAATAATATTATAACGTGTACTAGTAACTATGTAGATCTATTCGCAAGATTTGTTTGTTCTTTATATGTTTGATGATTTTACGTTAGATACATATGTATTTTGTATTTTATAATATTTTGCTACTTTCCATCTATGTTTACTTGTTTATTATTCATTATTAGATTACAGATGTTTATGCATTTATGCTAGATATGAATGTGAGCACAAATGCAAAGTATATAAAATATTTCAAAGATAAGACATAATTTTATTCGCGTTTATTTTCTTTATCAGTGTCTGTAAAAATATGCGTTTACACAACGTCTGCGGTGTACCCATTACATTCTTCGTTATTTATATGCTCTTATATTTCTTCGTTTGTATGTATAAATCTGATGTATACGAGGTGTATGTATCTATCGATAAACACGCTGAAGAAATAAATAAAGAAAAGAAGAAACATATTTTCTCTTGCTACCTGAATTATAAATCGAAAACATTAGACTATGATGATATATGTACTGTACTGTTCAAAAGACTTATTATATTTTATAAACAAAAAAAATATAATATTACACGAAGATAAGATTTATTTTAATAAAAATAATCCTTCCACAGTGCGTGCAGAAACTTTTCCGAAGAATTGTATACGGTCTAAAACTTCTGCACTGTACCGTATTTCATTCTCGATATCTTATTCCTCAACTATAGTGACAAAGTTCGCAATAGCCCGACAGCATTCGACAAATCCCTCGTACGTTCCGAACATTCGCGTTGCGTCGATTAATCTCAGTCGTGCATCTAGCGTTATTACACTTAATAGCCTTTATGGTCGTTAAAAAAAAAGCTACTTTACACGAAGCTGTCGACGAAATAGCGCGCGTGAGCACGCCGGAAAGAAAAAGAGGGTGGTTAGGTGGCAAAAGCGGAAGACAGCTGGCGCTGGTTCGTGTCGCGTGCGCCGCGGTAAGCGACAACAGCTCGCGTCGCTTGGCTAAGCACATTAGTCCCGACAACCGTAATTAAAACTGTTACGTGACAACATTGGTCAGGCCCAACGTTATCATACAGTTAGCATCGTCCCCTAATAACAATATATTTTCCCCCCAATGCCTCTGTGTCGCGTCTGCAGTTCGATTTATGGTACACGCGTCCCGTTGACAGACAACCATCGCGATCGGAATATCTTTAATGGTCACTAGGATTTCACTAAGGCGCCGAAATATGTCCGTTTAGAAAACAGCAACCGCGATGCAACACATACGTGCAGTGTAAAAGTGACACGACGATTTGATCGCATTGGAAATCGAACCCTTTCCGGCCTAACGATCCTTTTATTGCTCCTTTTTCTAGTCTTTGATGCTTTCAGTTTGAAGCTCAATTGCTTTTGACAGCATTTCTTTCCTAGATGCTCTTGTAAAATAATTTACCAATTGATACAACCAAGTGCGATATGGTGAAATAAACAAACGTCGTACTTAGTTTTCGGTTTAGCTGCAGATGCAGGTATTTTTGAATCATTCCCACGTAAATAGTAAATATGTTAATTTTTATCTTAATTCGGAGCATTTATAGGTGATTTCTGCAATGTAGAATTGAGAATGATGGAATACGCGCTTTTGGCGCCGTTAGATGATTTAGTCCTAATTATAGCGAAATTTACTAGCTGTTTGGCACACTTATCCATTAATTCAATATACATGTGATACGAATAATAACGATGCACTTAAATTCTTCGTTTGATGGCATCGATCCAATTGCTTAAGAGAACGAGAGCAATATATACTTCAAAAAATAAGTTTGGGTTTGTTAAATTTTCTACAGGAAAAATTATTTTATGTAAATGGACTTTTATGAATATCGTATTATTGCTCATTGCGATATCTATATTTTAATGAAATGTTAACAAATGCAAGAAAAAAACAGCGAAAGCTATGCACGCGTTCATTTTAAAACAATTTTATACATTTGTTTAGCGTGATAGCTCACTAACCGCATAATTCGCAGCATGTGACAAATTTGTTAAATAATTATTCAAATTAAATATAACAGAGAGTAAATAAATAAATAAAACAATTGCAAAACGATTTAATATACCCCTAACAGGAATTACAATACTGAAAATATGGTTCCACTATAAATAACATAATGTAAATATTCATATATCCACTTACAAAATTTCTCTACGTTGTATTCGCAAGTATCATAAATAAATTACACCCAGCAAAAATGGAACGATGAATAAGGAAAAATTAATTACGCCCAATTATGCCGCAAAGGTACATAACTTTATCTTATTTGAATATAAAATATCGCAATTATACCAGCTTGCAGCATTCCACGCAATGTGTTATTTAAAGAGGCCATCATGCAGAATATCGTGTATTAATTATAGCGTATAAAATAAAATACCTAGTTTTATAATACATTATGGATAAATCAGTTCTCGTTAACAAAATCATATGGATACTTCGAACAGACATTACTTTAAGTAAATCAATATCTTTTAGAGTAATCACTTTAACCTTTCACTTAAAACAACTTTTTTCCCCCTATCTTTATTTTATCTGTACCCATAAATTCAATAGTAATTGTACCGTAAAATACACAATTTCGAACAACTTAATGGATGTTTAATAACCACATATACATATAGCCACAAATTGAGCTGAAATTATAATATCGTTCAGTAATTATCACATAACATTATACAAACACATAAAAAACGTTAACCGTGACTGTCAATAGTCAGGAGTATCAGAGCAATATCTTTAATTTTCCACTTAATACGTTTTTTCGCTTGTCTTTAATTCACTCCTATCCGCTTAAATAATTCGTAAGGTGTAGAAACTTGGAGCAGCTTAATGGATTTTTAATAAGTATTTACATACCTGCCTCTAACATACACGCGCTGCCATAATGTACTTTTTTACCGACATTCCCTTCGAGGCTTCAAGGTTAAAGAACCTTGACCACGACAATCTAAAATACCTGAAACCATTTATATAGAAATCCATTATTACTTCCAGACAGAAGCCAGACGAAAGCTAAAGCGGACGGAAACCACTTCTATTCTTGCACTCTCTACACAAACATCGATCCACAGAGGGAAAGCAGGAATTTACGAATTAATCGCAAATCGTCTTCCCTTTCATTATACTCGCGCTATCGTCGACGACTCGCCAATAAGCGTATTATTTGCGATATCTCGCAAGGAAAGCTCGTGCATGCGGCAAAAGGTATAATAACTTTCTTGAATGGGAGAACGATACCCGATGGTGTGCACGTTTCGCACGTAGCCCCAGTGCCACGTAGACGTGGCGACGGCATGGCATGGCACACCGGACACCGACCATGATTCACGGCTCCTGGGCTTTGCACTCTGTGCATGCGCCACAAGCGTTAATGCCACATTAGCGGCGCACTTTTCCCGAAGTTAATGCACCAGCAAATTCGCATTTAAAGTATCCATTCACCGCGGCCGACGCCGTCCTCGGCTTCAATACTGTTTAACGACGTAATCTATGCGGTCGTTCGGCGGGAAAGAAATCCGTGACATTCGACAATTCACCTGTCGAGGAAATTGCCATGGGACGTTCCTTTAACCCCGGCGACTGGGGGGTAAAAATGTAATATGACATATAATATACGTGTATACGCGTGGTAAGATATGATATACTCTCGATGAATTTTTTGAATAATCTAAATTGAATACGTTAAATTCTTTGCTCTAATATCAAATTTATATTCTTGTGTTTAATATTTAATTCATTTATGTCGAATGCAAATGGGAATTATTTTTCATTCTTAAATGAAAAAATATTTTTGCCACTTCTACAATAAAATTCACATGTCTAGATCTATATTTACTAACTACAAAAATATTATTAAACCAGGAGAATAGCTTTTTTTAATCCAGGTAGCACTTATATTAACAGTGATAAAGAATGTAGAAAATTTGTAAGCTTCATAATATTAATTATCATCCGTTCGCTTTTGTAACACGTAGAAACAATGTAACAATCGCGAATACGGTGGTATGACATATAAGCTGTTTGCTAACCGCGTAAAGTTTGCTTTGCGATGCACGTTTCCAGCCACGTATGCTTCATTCTGGGCCAACGTATCTTATATAATACACCAGTACAATAATTAACGTGAGTGCATACGGAACATCATAGATACAATGTTGCATCTCGATTATCCGGACTAATTGGATGACGTGCAGCCCGAATGATCAAACGTTTGATTAATCAGTTCCGTAATCAAGATTTCAGCGCTCGCGCGCTGTTTGTTTTGTTATATAAATGAAAGATTACATCTCGACATTTGTATTGTTAATCGGGATAACTTTAGAAAAAATGTGCTATTATGAAACCTATTCAATGACAAAATTAACCTTTTAATAGTTAGCCCATTTGTCGAACGTGAGAAACGATTGAACATTTTGTCTGTACTTTGTAAGATGTGATTAGATGTTAGGTATATACATTGCAGCATCGTCCATTAATCGATTAAATATGTCAGAGCGAATGCATTCGTAATTGCTTACATTCTGCGTTTAACATATTCATATAACCGTTGCATTTCAAATTTCTTTTTTACGTATCGTCAAGATATCTCAGATAAGTTACTTAGGACAGTGTATTGGAACAAGAATTAGGTATTATTTAAAATGAAGACGTTTCTAACGAGACAAGAGAGTACAATTTAAGGAACAGATACATACACTTTAGTAGCAGTGAATGTATTAACAGACAAATATTTTGTACAAATTTATATCAAGTCAAATTAAATTACAAGAAAAATAAGATATTATTGTCAAAGCATTTTCAACTCATTTAAATTACTATAAAATTACCGTAGAATGTAACATATAAATTGAAAATTAAATAAGAAAAACTAAGAATTGTAAGAACAATTCCTTTACTCGTTTCTAAGTATTGTAATCTATCTTTTGTTAAAAAAAAAAAAATTAAGTTTCAAAAAGACATTCATTGTATATACTGAATATTTACGATATATAAATATATTATATATATGTAAGTACGTACCACGCTTATTCTGTACTAGGTAATTGTAACGTTCCATTAGTAGACATACCTGTAACACGATATATTTATATATTATTTACAGTATACTGTAACATGCACGTATATTATAACATTATAAGCGATTCAAAATAAAGAGAGTAGCCAAACACTTCTTGGTACATTTAGTAATTATAATGAATTCTCAAAAAGGTTAAAGAGAAACGCCACTTTCCTTTCGCTTGTTCCGAAAATGATTCTCTATATACAGTCATTTCATAGAATCTATGCAGACGTGATTACTAAAAGGCTAAGAATTTTTATACGATTAGAACTCATCATACTTGAATATATAAAATAAATATATATATAATATATGAAGTAAAATTTTCATTCAACGTGTAGATTGCAGATACACGTAAACACCCGCAATATGTATATACTTGATAATTTATACTATGCAGTAAAATGACTTTTCATAATTGCAGAATATGACTGCGAATGTAATGTAAACAATACACGCAAGTCTTCAGAAATTAATCACCTGCCGGAGGCGTACGTATTAGTACCTAGCTGCTTAATAATATATATTAAATTACCTTGATTAGCACCCATATGTATTACACCATAATCATATAAAGTACCTAAATGTTTGTAAATGTAAATGTAAGCGTGCATTTCTTGGATATTACCAAGAACTACCTCGATCTTTATATGTATATCAAAAAGGCTTTCAGCCGTGCAGCTAAAAGGTTAATTACTCAAATACATGGAAAAATGTAGTATTATAAATTACTCTGCAACGGCTAATAGCATATAATTAGGGTTTATGGACTTAATCGTTAACATAATTTGAAGAAAAAGTCATTTTATCATCGCCGAGATATGAATTACACACATTGCAGCTTGTGGAAATATTTTGCTTTAAACACTAGGAATTCGCGATGGGATACAGGATAAGGTAATGATACCAAACTTTTGAATAGGTGCTGTATATCGATATTAAAGTCTCATTTACGCGGCCACGTAGCTAACGTCCCACGTACACCTATAATTTCCAACAAAGTAACATGTTCCAACATCCGTACCGTAAATTTTAATATTCTTATGATCCCATGCTGCTTACCATTCCATTCAGCTTAGAAGAACAAAGCGTTGCTTTTTATCTGCAGGAAATATCCATTCATCGTTTGCACGTAAGATAAATGCTAACAAAGAGAGAGAGAGAGAGAGAGAGAGAGAGAGAGAGAGAGAGATCCTGAACGTTTTAACGAACCACGTTACAAACGAAGAATGACGAACGAGCAATGACCATAGGAATGTTATGCACGACCACGCGATGCCCCTCGTCCCAAATCGTTGTGTTCTCCTTGATCGATTAACGCGAAGCGAATTCGCGTCGTTAAAAGAACGAATACACAACAATAACGAGGCATGGGCAAGCGCGAGCGGAGTATGCTCGTTAGGAGGTAGACTTCGTTCCACCGATCTTAATGATCCTTGACAATGCATGGAAGCCATTCGTTCACTCAATCGGGAGCACCGCGACGCTATTATTGTTTTGTCGAAGACGTTCCTCCGACTTACGAATAAAAACGATCCGATGTGACGATTAATCCCACTGCCGGGGTTATCACTTGGAATACAATTGACGAGGGACGAAGAGAAAAACAACCATTCGAAAAATGCGATTGTTGAAAAATACAGGAGGCTACTATTACACTAATCCTCTAGATATTATGATGATTAGGGAAAAGATCACAATTAATTGCGGTCTTTCTTGTTTCGTTTAAAAATATAGCACAGTTTGTATCCGTTTAGAAATTAATTTAATTTTGCAGTATTAATTATTATGAATTCGAACTACGATATTTTATATTAAAATATATATCCTACGAATGTTGGTTATATTTTAGTCTACAAAACTTAATTATTTCTGATATGATAATTATAACTTTCTCAAGAATTAAATAAATTCTTTTATTATTCTCTCTCGACGGTTCAATGATCAAAAGTTATGTAAAAATAAAAAATGAACTTCCTCTGAATTTCCCGAAGTTCATTACTAAATCATATTTCATAATGCACCACATATCTTTTTAATACATTTTATCGGAAGTTACTTAGCTCTGATACCAGCAGTGTCCGTTTTAGCTACCTAACGCTCCTCCAACAGCGTTATGAAGAATTCAGGAAGCTCTTAACTCGTATTCCGACATAAATGCACCAAGCTATTCAAGACGTTACGTTCAATTGCGCTCTGAAAGGAAGAAACAGCAATCGCACCCTCATTTAATTAACCCCTTTCAGACCTCCGAAGGGTGAAAAACCTTTACGGCAAAGAAAAGGTAGAAAGGGGGAAAGTTTCAGTTCTATAACGCCGTTGTGCAACGATGTAACCATCTTCGTCTAACTCATCTACTTCTTTCTTACTCCAAATAGATATTTCCCATCTGTTCTACTCTGTTACATCTCTACAATCCAAGATGCTAGCTAACATATGAGATGTAATGATGCAACATTCGAATACGACTCGTTCGGTGAATTCCGGCGAAGGTGAAAAGAGCAAAAAGAGGCAAGTACGATAAAAAGAAACGCTGTTGGTTCCACAGACGATGAGAAGGAACAGTGAGGGAGGGCAGTGATTGGAGAAACTCGGTCCGATGCACGACACATAATGAGATACCGCGGTAAGGAGAACGAGAAGCAACACTGTGCAATAATTTATCACGTAAAAGGTATCGCCTTTGGCGTCCGGTAAATGTTCGTCGATAGGTCACGCCTGTCCCAATGAGAGGCGAAAACCGTGGCGTAAGGCTGCGTTCGCATGCGCATACACGGTACCCAAGCGAAATGGACCGGGGACACGTTAAGCATCGGGCCGATCGAACGTCTGGAGAGCCAGTATTTTTGCTCGTTACGAATTATGCGTCGATTGCGTTACCACAGGCCACTTTTGTGTTGCGTTTGAATTACACGGCCCGTGCATTACCCGTGGTCTGTTATTCACGTATAAACCCGTCCTCGCTTGTACCAGCAATATTCGACGTCGATAAACTCGCAGCAAGTTCGAGATAGGAGCCATGCATGCCGGTCCGGCACTGTGCCAAAGACTTTGCTTCCGACATGAGTGACTCTTCCTGCCGTTGATCGAGCGAATCGAAACGATAGGCCGGTTGGTTCGTGATGGGCATTTACGAGCCCGGCCTTTATGATCTTTATTCCAGCGATACGATGTTGCCAGCGCCCAGCCTTTCTACTAAATCCGATTTGTTTAATCCTATTCCGAGAGATGCACCGTGTAAAGTGGCCGTGATACATATTTCCTTCTGACGAATGACGCAAGACTTTTTCTAGAGTAGCAGTAGTCGTGTGACATCTCGCTGGATTTATAGGTAGGTTAAATTTTCTATATTGTATGATATAGATTCGGTGAGCAAGGAAGAGACTCGAATGCCACATTCATGTTCGAATAATTTCATTTATATCATAATTAATGAAATTAGTGAAAGATCAAGTTTCTTTTCTTTCTTTTCGTAAGTTATTCGCTATAGTTAGAAAGGCTGGTCCCGAGACAAGTTTGGAAACCTTTCACCGAGAAATTATGTAATGCTAATCACACAGTCGGAACATAATGCAAATACAGATACCGAAAGAGTTGCTTAATTAGACAGAAGTAAATTGAGTTTTGATAAAGTTCCGCAGCCACTAATTAGCTGAACTTGCGCAACAGGTTTGATCATCGAAAACCGATTTCCAGTTCAATGGTATTTCGTTCAAAAATGTGATAATTGTTTCAGAAAACGAATAATGCGTATACAAAAATTGCATGACGAAACATTGATTTTAATTTGGTAGAATGACGTAATATAGCACTAGCCTCGAAGTAACTTCAAAATCTTTTTAAATTTATATTAGGAAACAATATAGGTAGAAATAAAAATAAACAGAAATTGAAATAAAAAGAAAAGCCACATTCTTCGATCGGATATTCAGGCAAAATTTATAGCACCATAATCAGATACATTGCCAATTGATAAGCGCACGCAACCTCTTCTCATCGCATGTTTTAAATTAATTCCGCCGTTGCTCCGGCTAACAAGACAGCGCGGCATCTTCGATCAACCTCCGATTACATATTTTCTTCGCGACAAGCAACAAAACCGTGAATATTAATTATATTCTCAACGGGCAGGACATTGTTGCGAATTTCGTGGTGGCTCGAGATTCTGGAAACTCATCGTCGTAAACTTCCGAATTCGTGATCGAACGAGGACGAAGATGAAAGTGAAGACAAAGACGAGGAATACGGTGGACGACAACGACGACGACGAAGAAGACGAAGGATTAAAAAAGAAAAAAAGGAACAGTTCGAAATCCCAATTACACGTTTGGTCCTGAAGCGAGTGGCCGAGAATCCCAAAGTTTCATCGGCAGAATGCGGCGAATCGCGAAGAGTCCGCGAGTTCGCTGAAAAAAAATAAATAAATAAAAAGAAGGTCGCAGAAGGCGCTGCAACGGCGAATTGCCGTGCCCCACCTGTATAATGACGGTGCTCTCCGTTCCTGAAGAGAGGAATGTCGTGCAATTACGGCCGGTGGCCCTCCGCTGCTGCTTGTACGTCGAATGACTTAAGCGGCATTTAGTGGTTTTCGGTGTCACAGCGTTGCTTCGAGGAAAAGAAAAAGAAGTTACACGAGATAGTAATCGGTGAACGACGAACAAATTGCTCCTTTCACGGCCTGTCTGATGGGATTACCTGATCTGCGAATAATCAGCATAGTTGCGGAAACCTTTAAGCCGGCCGAAAGGAACAATGTCACTTTGACTTTCTATTCGGCAGATAATAGTTCCAGGTTCAAGATAACATTTGATTGGATCGAAACACAGTTTTCGAGATTCAGGAACAGTTTATAATTGCGGATGGCTAACCGAAGAAAGAATTTTTTAGCGTCGTAATGTGGAGATATTTTTTACTAATTTCTTTAACGTGTTCAAACCGGAATTGTTTATCAATCTATTGCATTGTACAGAGTACAGAGTATAGAGTAATTTAATCATGAATTTACTCTT